AACATATGCTCCTCATGGGACTGTTTTACATTTGTCTTTGTACCCCCATGCCTCCTAGTGCAGTGCCTTGTATAAAGTAGGTATTTAATAACTGTTTGGAAAATTGAATGAAAAAAATTCATTTCACAGGAACCCTGTAAGAGTAGTGAGACCTGAATATAGGAAGAGAAACACTTCTTCTGCCTTCTACTCCAACCATTCTTAGAATCAGAGAGCAGGAAGGTACCCTAGAGACCATCTCATGCAACCGTGGTATCATATAAATAAGGATGGGGATTGGACCTGTAATTTAATTGAGATAGAGAATTCCCAGATGGTGAAATGTCATCTGCCAATGCAGGGCAACATCTTCTCTGCAACTGGAGCCCTGATAGGTTAGTAATTTGCCCAGGGTCATACAGCCAGTGTGTGTCACAATCAGGATGAACTCAAGCTCTCCTGGTTCCAAGGCTGGAACTATACCATGGTGCCTCTTGTTTTATAAATGAGGAAACTAGACCCCGTAGAGGCTTTTGAAGGGTCTTTCACCTAGTAAAGACAAGAGGTAGAATCCAGGTGTCTTGGCTCCCAGTTCAATGCTCTTTTCATTGAACCATTCTGCTTCCAACCTTCTGTTCTAATTAACAGAAGGACAGTGCACTTGATGATAACACTTTAACTGTACTTTGACCCTTAAACTTGTGCTTTTTAAATCATGACTCCATAGACCTGCCTTTATCACTTCTCCATCTCTAGAACTAGAGAGTGACTTTCCTTTATATAAATTGCTGTTAATGTTTGATCCTTCATCATCCATCTCTTCTGTACATATTTGCCAATTCTTAGCTTCTCGCTTGGACAATGTATAATCTAGGAATAACTGTACTGTACCTGGGAGAAAGTCTTAACATACCTTTCTGAGACAACAGATCTCACTGTTGAGAAAATGTCTTCTCTACTTTTGGTTTATTACAGTGTCAAGAGTACCGAGTTACACTTTCAGCCACAGATACTTCCATTAAGTTGGGGAAAGTTCAAATATTCCACAATGGCAGTCTATGGCATGGTGGCCAAGGTAGCACACAGTTTGACTTTATGTAGCATGGTTTGTAGAAGGACCAACTTATAAGTAGTACTTTTAACTCTCTATTCATACTTCTAATCATTAAGTACTAGGAACATGTGACTTAGGGGTGGACTTCCATGTAATGTCACACGTGATGCCTTTGCCAGTGGGCTTGGCTAGGTCAATCATGTAGGCATGTGGAAATTGCCATATGCCATTGGAACTTCTTATAGTGACCTTCAGCTACTCCTTCCCCCATTTTCAAAGGAGTGAATTAATGGAAGATTTTGAACATCACCTTTGACAGGCCACTCACCCCTGAACTAAACCCAAGCATAGAACCTTTCTGGCATGCCACTGACAAGCTGGGTGATATTGAGTAAGTCAGTTTACTTCTCCATGTCTCAGTTCTTCCTCTCCAAAATGAGCAGGCTAGCTGATTTCTTAGGTCCCTTCCAACTCCAATTTTTTGTGATTCAGTCCCAGTAGGATATAATCTCCTCAAGAATAGATTGTGCTCCTCTCCCAGCCCCTCATTCAAAACTGGCCAAGTCGATGAAAAAATTATTCAGCCTGCAATTTTCACTTGTATTTTAATGTTCTGCAGTCTGTATACTTTAATACAGTGCATGGCAAATGGTGCTCATTACATATTTAGCAATAGCATTGGTTTCATGTCCTCCGACAGAATCCATGATATTATTGAGTGGAATATTTTAGTTAGAGGATGAGGTCAATACACTTTTCTTTCTTTTCTTTAGTAAGGATGTGGTTATGTTGCTCACAAAAGTTATTCTTCTCCATAATAGAATATTTACTCTATCAGCTTAGTGATAACAGCCTTGGAAGTAACATAAAATTGCTGTTGTCCATTGTTGCTATCCATATTCTATTAGACTTGTTATTTCTTCTTTCTTCAGTGGTGAGAATGTTTTGATTACTCCTTGTCCCTACAAATTTCTTTCCTTTTCCTATCTACAATGCTTGAAAAACTTTGAATATTTTGTTCTTCCTGTTGTAGAAAGTGGCAGATCACGACACCCACCTGAAAAGGTGGTATGCATATGTGTGTGTTGATTTATAGTAAATTCATGCTTTCTGTGACTTTGAATCCCAAAAGACACACAGCCAAATTGGGCTTGGTCTACATTCATGGTCACCTTTATACTCCACTCCCCTGACAATCATTTATTTCCAACTAAGCTTCTATTGTAATTTATTCTGTTTACTTATGTTCTGTCCTTCATATACAAAAATGAACCATAAAGTGAGAGCTTGGACCAGATATTCTCTAAGGCCTCTGAATACCATGATTAAATAATAATATAACATATTACTGTTGTACTTTAAAATTCACAAAGCCTCTTCCCTGCAACCACTATGTGAGGTATCTAGAACAAATGTTCTTATCCTTATTTTATAGATGTTTAAAGAGTTTATTAGACTCAAAGAAATGAAATAATTTGGTCATTTTATAGTCATGGACCATTCAAGTTGGAATGGACCAACTGGCAATAGTAGCTTATGTTGTTAAAGTACTTTGAAGAGTGTAGAATATTATGTAAGTGTAAGATACTTCTATCACTCTTTATGTGAAGATGGTGGCCAATGACAGCCATCAGTAGAAACAGCGTTCCAAGTTAGATGGTTTTTTCTTTTCTTCCTTTTCCCTGGCATGCTGAGGTGCTCCCCATTCAAACTTCCCAGACCTAGAGGCAAGTTATTACAATAGAAGGAGCAATGACCCTGGAGCCACAGTACCTTGATTCAAATCCTACCTCTTTGAGACCTTGGGCAGTTGCTTAAACTATCTAAGTCTCAGTTTCCTCATCTTTAAAAAGTAGAGAGTTGGTCTGAGGTACCACATCACACCTATCAGATTGGCCAACATGACAAAACAGGAAAATGATAAATGTTGGAGAAAATGTGGGAAAATTGGAACACTAATGCATTGTTGGTGGAGCTGTGAAATGATCCAACCATTTTGGAGAACAGTTTGGAATTATGCAATAAAATGTGCATACCCTTTGACCCAGCAATAGTACTTCTAGGGCTATATCCCAAAGAGATCATACAAATGGGAAAAGGACCCACATGTACAAAAATATTCATAGCAGCTCTTTTTGTGGTGGCAAAGAATTGGAAATTGAGAGGATGCCCACCAGTTGGGGAATGGCTGAGCAAGTTGTGGTATATGAATGTAATGGAATACTATTGTGCTATAAGAAATGATGGAGGCAGCTAGGTGGCGCAGTGGATAGAGCGCCAGCCCTGAAGTCAGGAGGACCTGAGTTCAAATCTGGCCTCAGACCAAACACTTGACACTTACTAGCTGTGTGACCTTGGGCAAGTCACTTAACCCCAATTGCCTAAAAGCAGAAAAAAAAAGAAAAGAAATGAAATGATGAATAGGCTGACTTCAGAAAAACCTGGAAAGACTTGTATGATCTGATGCTGAGTGAAGTGAGCAGAACCAAGAGAGTGTTGTACACAATAACAGCCACGTTGTGTGATGACTAATGTTGATAAGCTTAATCCTTCTCAGCAATACAGGGATCTAAGACATCTCTAGAGGCCTCGTGATGGAAAATGCTATCCACATCCAAAGAAAGAACTATGGAAGTTGAATCGCTGTCTTTTTTTTTTTGTTTTTCTCTTCTGTTGAGTTTTGTTTTCTCTTTCTGATGGTTCCTCCTATTGGTTTTAATTTTTACTTGCAACTTCATTAATGTGAAAATATGTTTAATAGGAATGTGAATGTATAGCCTATGTGAGATTGTGCACCTTCTTGGGGAGGGTGGTGGGGAGGAAGGGAGAGAAAAATTTTAAACTCAAAAGCATACAGAAGTGATTGGTGATAAATCAAAATAAATTAACAAAAATAAATTTAAAAAAAATTTTAAAAAATAGTAATTAAATTTAAAAAAAAAGTAGAGAGTTGGACTAGATTAGAGGGTTGGCTTCTGAAGTCCCTTGTATCCCCGTTGCTGTGACTCAGTGAACTTGGTAATCCTTTGATTTTGTTCTGTTCCATATACACTCTACTCAGCCTGGCTTGTGACCAACAGCATACGTTATTGAGATGGTCCCCTGGGGTTAAGCATGCAGCCCAGGGCAGCAGAAGATAGCACATCTATTTGGCACACACTGGAATTTAAACCACCGATCTTGGCCTTTAGCATATTACTTCTGATCAGTCAGCCACAGATAACTTATCCTGATCATACCATGCATACGTAGCGCCAGAATGCTTAATCCTTAAGACAAATGTATTTCTTAAGACTGTATAAGAAACATATTTGATGAAGAACTATGATTTTTCATATTTTAAAGTGTAGCCAGACCATATACTAGATAATTTATTTGTACACAAATAAATTCATGTTTGTGGCATTGGCATTTAATGGACTACTCTGAATATTATGACAATCTTACTTTCAAAATTTGAATTTAGTAGTATACAATGATAATAACATTGTATTCGCTTCTCTAAAATTGTGTACTCTATTTGACTTATTGGGCAAATACATAATGGAGCTTTTTTAGTTACTTATTTTCCATTTCAAAAAGGAGAATATATTATTCAAGGACACTTACCAGGTAATGGTAGCCAAAAGATTATTGCCTTCTCTTTTCCCAGCTCACTCAAGATAGCTCATATAGTATGCAGTTTATTTATGCCTTGGAAAACAGGTGCTTAAAATGTCTTGCATAAGCAGATACTACTTCTACTTGGACTTTTTAAAAAATGTTTAACTATCTTAATGGCCTCATTTCCTCCTACTTTACATAGGAACATGTCTGCAGGTTGATTATTTCCTTTTTAAAAGAAAATCTTAATAGATGGAAAAGTGGAGGGTCATTCTTTACCTTTTAATGTATATGCTTAAAACTGAAACACAGTGCTATAGGTTGTTAAAGAGTGAAAAAGAATACATTTGTGTTTTTCCAACAGAATTAAACAGTACTGATTTGAAAGACTGTGTTAGCAACAACAGCCTCAGTAGCAATGCCAGCCTTCCCAGTGTGCAGAGTTGCAGAAGACTTCGGGAAAGGAGAGTTGCAAGTTGGGCTGTTTCATTCGAGCGTCTTCTACAGGATCCTATTGGTGTTAGATACTTTTCTGTAAGTAAGGAGGACAGACAGTGAAACTTGTTGAAACAAGCAGAAGCATGCGTTTTTAGTTTTTACAGAATTTCCAAAGGGTCCCCAAGGGATAATAAAGTGAAGTTCTTGGTACGTAGGCTAAAATAATTTTGAACAAATTCTGTTTCTTTTTTTTTCTATTTTGTGGCATTGCTTTACATTGTCCGTCTTTGGGCCCCATATTTACTCTGGTCTTGTTACCTCTACTTTCCTTGGAAGTAAGTTGGGTATATTGGGAGACATCTTAAGTTTGGCCAAAGCCTGTAATGTTCTACAGTAGTAATTTTCACAATATTCTGGCTTGACATACCCCTGTTCCTTCTTCTAGCCATGGTCTTGAAGGCTTTACCCATAAACAGGGCAGAACAATGTCCCGTTCCCTCCTCCCCCTCCCCCCCACTGGTTCACAGGGAGTGATAGTGACTAGCAGCCCAGAAAGAAAAAAAAAAGATGAGAAATTCCTTTACCTTATTTATTCGAGGTTTCACAGCTACAAAGTCTGGTTTTCCCCGAATTTTCTGTTCAATACTTCCTGTTCAGAAATGTATCGATGCATTTAGCTGTCAGCAATAATAAAAACTAATGTTAAATTCTTTAGAAATTCAAGGCTGTTAGAATTGATTACAGAGGTGAAGTGACCAACCCTATTTTTCCTGGCTCCCTACTTCTCAGTGGAGGATACCCACAGCACAGTAGTTTTATGAAAGCTGAAGATAAGAAAAAAAGGAGGGAAAGAATATGAGGAAACCAGATGACAACAGCACATTAGACAAAAGCTTACCTTTCATTATTGAAGCTGCAATTTTAACTTGTGATATTTTTCTCTAGGATTTTCTAAGGAAAGAATTCAGTGAAGAAAATATTTTGTTCTGGCAGGCGTGTGAATATTTTAGCCATGTACCTGCACATGACAAAAAAGAGGTAATATCAATTATACATATGAAATAATAATAAAACAAGATGAAAGAACAGTGTTGTTTTCCCATGTATACTCTAAACTTATGGCTAGTATTTACAGTATTTTGGAAGGTTAAATTTTAACTCATGTGCCCTAGAGTCAGGATAGATATAAGTTCAAATCCAGCCTCAGACACTTGCTAGCTATGTGGCCCCTGGGCAAGTCATTTAGCCTTTTGCTTCAGTTTCCACATCTGTAAAATGAATTGCAGAAGGAAATGGCAAACCATTCCAGTATCTCTGCCAAGAAAACACCAAATGGGGTCACAAAGAGTTAGACGTGATGGAAATGGCTAAACAACAACGTTAATTAATTAAAGACATTTCTTTTTTGATGCAGTTCTAATACATATTTAATTTGGATGATATGGGAATTTTTATAAAAGAAGTCTTAAGCAAATATTATCTAGCAGAAAGAATACTAAATTTGTAGTCAGAGGGCAAGGATTCAAAGGCTAGCTTACCTGCTTATTAACTGTGCCACTACAAACAAGGTACTTCTCATCTTTAGACCTCAGTGTTCTCATCTAGAAAATGAGGATGTTAGAATATTCCTTTCTAACTACAGATTCTGTGATCTTGTGATCAGGAAGAACATCATGAAAAAAAGAGTCAACAGCTTGGTAAAGGAGGCACAAAAAATACTGAAGAAAATAGAACTTTAAAAAATAGAATAGGCCAAATGGCAAAAGAAACACAAAATCTATTGAAGAGAACTCCTTAAAAAGCACAATTGACCAAATGGAAAAAAGGTGTACAAAAATTCCCTGAAAAAAAGAACTCATTAAAAAGTAGAATTAGCCAAATGGAAAAGGAGGTTCAAAAGCTCACTAAAGAAAATAATTCCTTAAAAATTATAATTGGGCAAGTAGAATCTAATGACTCTATGAGACATCAAGAAACAAGAAAACAAAATCAAAAGAATGAAAAAAAAATGTGAAAATCCCCTTGGATAAACAGCTGACCTGGAAAATAGTTCAAGGAGATATAATTTAAGAATTATTGGACTACCCAAAAGCCATGATGAAAAAAAGAGCCTAAACATCATCTTTCAAGAAATTATCAAGGGAAACTGCCCTGTGATTCTAGAACGAAAGGATAAAATAGAAATTGAAAGAATCCACCTATCACCTGAAAGAGATCCCAAAACAAAAACTCCCAGGAATGTTATAGCCAAATTCCAGAATTTCCTGGTCAAGGAGAAAATATTGTAAGTAGCCAGAAAGAAATAATTCTTTCCACAGTCAGGACAACATAGGATTTAGCAGCTTCTAAATTAAAGGATCAGAGGGTTTGGGACCTGATATTCCAGAGGACAAAGGAGCCAGGGTTACAACCAAGAGTCACCTATGCAGTAAAACTGAGTATAATCCTTCAGGAGAAAAAAATGGAAATTTAATGAAATAGAGGACTTTGGAGCATTCCTTATAAATACAAGACTCAAGAGAAGCATCCAAAGATAAACAGTCAAAAGAGTTATCATGAGAGATTCAATAAAGTTAAACTGTTTACCTTTCTATAAGGTACATGTATATGTATATTCTAAGAACTTTATCATTATTAGGACAGTTAGAAGGAGTATATATAGACAGAGGCACAAGTGTGAATTGAATTTGATGGGATGATAGCTAAAAAAATAAAATTAAAGGGTGAGAAAGAGGAATGCACTGGGAGAAGGGGAAAGGGAGAGGTAGAATGGGGATAAATTACCTCACATAAAAGAAGCACAAAAGAGCCTTTACAGTGGAGAAGAATATGGGGGATGTGGAGGAGGCACTTGAACCTTACTCTCATCGGAATTAGCTCAAAGAAGAAATAACACATACACTCAATTGGGTATAGAAATATATTTTACCCTATAGGAAAGTAGGAGAAGAAGGGGATAAGAAAAAGGGGGGGCTGATAGGAGTGATTGGGGGGGGATAGTCAGAAGCCAAACACTTTTGAGGATGGACAGAGTGAAAGGAGAGAGAGAGAGAGAGAGAGAGAGAGAGAGAGAGAGAGAGAGAGAGAGGAGAGAGAGAGAGAGAGAGAAGGATAAACAGGAGGAAAATAGAATGGAGGAAAGTACACAATAATCACAACTGTAAACATTTTTACAGCTTACCTTGATAAAGGCCTCATTTCTCAAATTTATATGAATATGAATCATTCTCAAATTGATAAATGGTCAAAGGATATGAACAGGCAGTTTTCAGATGAAGAAATCAAAGCTATCTATAGTTGTATGAAAAAAATGCTCTAAATCACTTTTGATAAGAGAAATGCAAATTACAATAACTCTGAGGTACCACCCCTTGCCTGTTAGATTGGCTAATATGACAGAAAAGGAAAATGACAACCATTCTGGAGAGTAATTGGAACTATGCCTGAAGGGCTGTAAAACTGTGTATGTCCTTTGATCCAACAATATCACTTACTAGATCTATATCCCAAAGAGATAAAAAACAAAAAGGGTAAGGACCTCGATGTACAAAAATATTTATAGCAGCTCTTTTTGTGGTGGCAAAGAATTGGAAATTGAGGAGATGCCCAAGTGGAGAACAGTTAAACAAGTTGTGGTATGTGAATATAATGTAATACTATTGTGCTACAAGAAATGATAAACATGATGCTCTCAGCAAAACTTGGAAAGACTTACATGGACTGATGCAAAGTGAAATGAGCAGAACCAGGAGAACATTGTATGCAGTAACAGCAATATTATATAATGATCAACTGTGAATGACTTAGCTATTCTCAGCAGTACAGTGATCCAAGGTAGTTCCAAAGGACTTATAATGAAAAATGCTATCCACCTCCAGAGAAAGAACTGATGGAGCCTTAATGCAAATCAAAGCATACTTTAAAAAACTTTCTTTTTTGGAGGGGGTAAGGGTCTATTTTTTTTCACAATGTGACTAATATAGAAATATGTTTTGCATGACTGCACGTGTCTAACCTATATCAAATTGCTTGCCTTCTCAAGGAAGCAGGACTAGGAGGATAGGAAAGAATTTGGCACTCAAAATTTTTAAAAAATGGATATTAATTATTTTTACATGTAATAGGGAAAAATAGAATATTTTAAAAAGCAAAAGCAAAGTAAGTCTTGCAGCTTCTTTCTGGGGTATTTACATAGTTTTGGGGTTATTCCTATTATAACAAGGTGATTAAAAGAATAAGCTCACAGCAAAAATCATGGTTTAATGGAAAGGGCAATGAGTCTGTTCTGGTACTTCAGAGACCAGGCTTCTGTTTCCAACCCTGTCATTCTCTTTCTGTGTGTCACTAACACCTCCATTTTGGGTAATCATTAAGATCTTCATCATTGACACTCAAAAGTCTATAGCACTCTAAGATTTGCCTTTTCCTCACAATAACCCTGTGAGACAGAAAGGGCATGTATTATTATCCCCATTTTACAAATGAAGAAATTGAGATTCACAGAGGGAAAAGTCACAGAACCCAGTTAGATTTGACCCCACGTCTGTTGACTTAAAGTCCACCACTCTTTTTTTTCCCTCCCTAGACCTTACATTCTTCATCTGTAAAATAAGGCTGTGGGACTAGGTGATCTCTGAGGTGACTTTCTATTCTAAAATTTTCATGCTTATATCTTTACCTTTCAGTTCAGTCCTACCCACAGCCATGAACTGATTTTTTTCAGGACCTGTCATGTTTTAAGTTACAATGACCATAGATGACCATAGCTATAGGAACTTCTTAACCTTTAAACTAATTAAGGATAATGGTGAAGGATAAAAAGACTTATAGATTATTTTGCTTGTTTCATCTATTTGAATCGACTATCTGAATTCATCTTTCAACGCTTATATTGAAGGGCTTATTTTGCGATGTACGAGATTGTGCAAATCATAGTATGCCATGGTCTTTCTCTCATAACATTGCCTTTTATTTGTTAGCTTTCCTATAGAGCCCGTGAGATCTTCACAAAATTCTTGTGTAGCAAAGCTACCACGCCGGTTAACATTGATAGCCAGGCACAATTGGCTGATGATATTCTTAACGCACCACATCCAGACATGTTCAAGGAACAGCAGCTGCAGGTAATTGCTTCTCCCAGCCTTTGGCAGAGTGAATCCAGGGCTGATGGGACCCTTCCTGTTACAGTGTGCATGCGCACAGATTGGATTGACAGCAGTGCAGCTGATGAGTCATTGTTAGTTAAATATGGCGCCCTTTCTCAACACCTCAAGTAGCCCCTGCGTTTACAAAGGGAGTGAGAATTGGAGGAAGTCCCTGAAAATTTCTGAGGTTCTGGGAGGGGAAAAAAATTAGCAACCATACTTTTGTTCCATATTAACCTTCTGCTGCATAATAGAAAGAGCACTGGCTTCCAGTCAGGGTACTTGGGCTCAGTTCCTACCACTAACTTGCGTGACCTTGGACAAGTTGCTTAACCCAGTGCCTAACCCAGTGCTTCCAGGGCTTAGCACAGTGCTTTTGTTACATAGCAGGGGCTTAATAAATCCTAGCTGACTGGCTGGACCTCAGTTTCTTTATCTGTAAAATGAAAGGGATTAGACCTATGGCTTCTGAGGTCTATGATTCTATAATCTTAAATATTCTTATCTGTACACACATACATACTTATTATATATACTGTGTAATGTATGTGCAATTACATGCTGCATATGAAATTATTTTTCTTACTAAAAGAAATAAACCTTGTGGTCCACATTGGAAAAAACAAAGTGGGTGAAAACCCCATTACCTAGGTTATGACATGCAGTTATATAGATAGCCTGTTGAATTAGCCACTTAGTAGTATACCTTTGATCTGCTCTGTAAATGAACAGTGAGCTAAGGCCAGCGTTGAATAGGAGGAGGCGATTGGCCTGTATACCATTGGGAAAACTGCATGCTAATTCGGTGATGCCAAGTTACTCTTTGTCACAGAGTGAATGGCCACAAATGGATAATGCATTTTGCATTGCATTACAGTGTAACCCTGAAGTATTGGAAGAACCAGATATTAGATAAATTTTCTTTAGGGGCTTTATGGAAAGTTGCAGAATGTACAGAGGCAGAAGGGTGATGGATAGAAAGCTGGACTTAAGAGTCAGAATACCCTTCTTCAAGTCCTTGCTTCGGACAGATGGTATGTGATCATGAGCAAGTGACCCTGCTTCTCAATGCCCAAGGTAAACTCTCTAAGACTAAACAACAGATGAGTTGCTGATTTGTGTTAATGGAGGGAGTTTCCACACTAGTCATTTCTCACAGGGATAAAATCACAGATCTAGACCTGCCCCCCACCCCAATCCCTTCCCCACAATTATAAGAAAAAATGGCTGTTACTACCAATAGCTCACTTTCATATAGTACTTTATAGACTGAAGACACAGTGATGTTTGCTTAGTCTCACTGGACTCCTCTGGCTTGGGTTCAGCTTTAGAGTTTAGATATTGAATAGCAGCTGCAGACCCCACTTTCAGTTTTCTACGTCCTCTCCAAAGCTGTGGTTCAGCAGGGTCACTGGATAGCCTGGAGCTCTTTATAATAGGTTTAGGATTCTTGAGGCTATAAAGTCTAAGAACTGACAGTGTTTGAGAAGCAGTTTGCAAATTTGGATCAGCAAGATGGAAAAAGCATTTGGTTAGTCTTAATTTGGGATCTGGACACTTTGAAAGCAGCTCTCACTTAGAAATAGTCTGGTTTTTTTATGTCTCTTCATATTCAGTAAAGTAAAACTTATAAAAGGTTCTAAGGTAGTGGACTCTTGATAATCTGTTCATTACTGATGCTGTGCTTCTTATCAAAACCTGTCAGTTTTTGAAAGTAGCAAATGAAAGGGCAGTTTTAAAAAGTGTTAAGTGACTGGGCAAATGGCTGGACAAAAATGCAAATGCTAGAAGAGTTTTAGGAAGCCTTGACATTTGGGAGGAAGGTAGAGCAAAAACATTGTCCTCAAAAATGGGGTTGATTGACGTATGCTTGCTACTCACCCACTCAACATTTTAGCTGTAGGCCTAAGTAATACATTTTAGACTTCATGTATACATGTTCCCCTGTGTTTACTTTTCAGATTTTTAACTTGATGAAGTTTGATAGTTACACTCGTTTTCTGAAATCCCAGCTCTATCAAGAATGTATTTTGGCAGAAGTAGAAGGTCGCTCTCTACCTGATTCACAACAGGTCCCAAGTAGTCCTGCCTCTAAACACAGCATCAGTTCAGATCGCTCTAATGTCTCAACGCCAAAAAAGGTGCCGCTTATTATATTCATAGCAGATTTGAGATACGATGTTGGTTTTTTTTTTTAAATGAACAGTGTAATAAAAATTGAAAGAAAATCATACTGCAGTAAATGAAATGAATGGAAATTTGAATTTAGTTTTCCACATGGAAGAAAATAAGCACATATTGGAAGATATTAGGCATTCAAATATAGGCATTTTTTTTTTTACTTATAAAGTGAGCTACATTCCTGGAAAAGGGGCTATATATTTTCCTTTAAAAACAGTGTTCTGATGGGAGGTTATGTTTCTGATCAGAGCCTTGATGCCTGTCTTTTAATTCAAATGACCCAGTCCTGGACAACATCACATTTGCTTCTCTTTTTCTATTGTTTGAGATCATAAAATTCACGTCAACTCAGCAAACACATATTAAACCCTGTGTGCTAAAAAAACAAATATGCTGCTTGGATCCACTACAAATTAATTTTTTTAAAAAAGGCAATAGGGGTTAAGTGACTTGCCCAGGGTCACACAGCTAGTAAGTGTTATGTGTCATAGGCCGGATTTGAACTCACATCCTCCTGAATCCAGGGCCGGTACACTATCCACTGCGCCACCTAGCTGCCCCTACTACAAATTAATATTATCTGACTTCAGCTGGGTCATTTGAGTTCATTCCTCATCTTACTTAGCTCTCATTGCTTCCTGATTGAACTCCTGAATAGTTACTTAGACTATTCTACTCTCCTCAAGTGCTCAACCCCCTGCCATCTCTCTGCATCAGATTTTTTCTTTCCTCCTACTTGACCAAGGAGATAAAGGCCGTCCAACATGAGCTTCCTCTCTTCCTTCCCTTCTGAGGAAGATGTATCCTTTCTCCTTGCAAAAGCTCAGCCTCTCTAGCCGTGTTCTTGATCCCATTCCCTGCTAACTTCATCCGAACATAGCTTTGTTAATGTTCTCCCTTCTCTCCTATGTCTTTATGCCGCCTCCTCCTCTGCCTGTGTTATGTACAGCTAGCTCTTCCTTTTTGCTCAGAAGAAAACAAAACACAAGACATTTCTTATAACCCTGCTGCTACTCCTTTAGCTATTCCCTCTTCTCTTTACTAAAGATACTTCCTGAAGGAGTAGCCTCTTTGTTGCCTCTACTTCCTTATCTCCCATTTCCTACTTAGCCTCCCCCTTCCCCGTATCCAGTCATTGAACAGGCTCTGTGGATTTTCTGCCATGACCCTCATATCTTTCTCCTCTTTAGCATTCCCATGATCACTGTCCTTGCTTAGGCCCTTATTACCTTTCACGTGGGCTATTGTTTACAAACTTCCAACTGGTTTCCTCACCTTAAATCTCTATTCTTTCTAATCCATTCCTTCTAATACTCTACAACACTACCAGATTAATCTTGCCAGTGTGAAACTCTGATCATGTTCCTCCAGTCCTCAAAAATCTCCGTTGACATAAAGTCAAGAAACCCTGGGTAAGAGTCATGGGGGCCAGATGAAATACAGGAGCTGGGCCATGAAATCTTTCATATGTTGGGGGTGGGTGGGAAGGGATATTATATACACAAGTATATATATATACATATATATGTATATACATATGTATATACATATGTATGTATATATACATATATATGTATATATATGCATATGCAAAAGATATGTTATGTCACATATAAACATAATATATCCAAAACATATATCTATATACATATGTGTGTATATACATACATATAAATATGTGTATATATATGTGTATGTGTGCATGTGCTACATATGTATAAACCATTGGACTATAGAGAAAAATGTATAGTTTGTCCTCTGTTTGGATTGTCTGTTTTGATTTGTATGATCTTCTTGCTTTCCTGTCTCCTGCCTCTCCAATTCATCCTTCACACACCTCCCAAAATACTCTTCCTGATGCAAAGATATGATTAAAAATAGCCTGATATTTAAGACCCTCCACCATCTAGCTCCAGCTTGCCCATATCCGCATATGTGTTGTACCCGTACTCAAAGCCCTATGCCGTTTTCATTGTTGCAGCTTAGCACTTATCACAGTGTTGTTCATATGGGAGAAACTTAATAAATGTTTGTTGAATTGAATTAAAATAGTTTTTAATGTAATCACTGGAAATTTACTCCATACTTTTTTTAAAATTTAGTACCTAGTATATTGTAACATTTTAATAGCATTGATAGATGACATATTGTTTTAAAAAGTTTTAAATTTAATGGCAGTTAAGTGGAAAGTCAAAATCAGGAAGATCCCTAAATGAAGAATCAGGAGAAGAGGATGGGGAGAAGAAACGCAAAGGAACATTTTTTTCCTGGTCAAGGAATAAGAGCACTGGACGATCCCAGAAGAAGAAGGAACATGGGGATCATCCACATGGTTGGTAGTGTTGTCTTTTTTGACTATATCAATTGGTCCATAATTAATTTTGAGGTGTGGGTGACACTGTAATTTTTCCACCAAGCCACATGAAGCCACAGGTGATGGCTAAGAGAAAAAAGGAAGTGAGATGATTTAAATATTGTTCCATCTATATAAATAAAGGAGCAGATTGGTTTTTCCACTGGCATACATGCATCTAATAGGCAGTTGGCCAAAAAATAAGAATAATTTCAGATCCTCCTGAAAACAAGTAGTGGGTATGTGTACATTCTAATTCAACTTTTCACTTCAAGCCCTGGCTAAAAATATGTTTGCATAAGATTTATGTGTGCCTAGACAAAGTGTATAGTTTATTTTTCAGAATTTTCCTAGACCTACTATTAGAAGAGACCTTAGGGAAATCTAACTTCTCTGAGACTCAGTTTTCTCATTTGTAAAATGATGGGAGCTTAATCACCTTTGAGATCCCTTTTAGCTCAAAAATCTCTGATCCTTTGAATCAGTCTGCTAGTATTGTGCTTAGCAGCCTCGGCTTCAGGCACTCCTCTAGTGCCTGGGAATTCACTACTTCCTAAATCAACCCATTCCATTATTGGGCTTGAACTCAAATTGGCCTCCCTGGAGCCTCTATGCATTGGTCCCAGCTTTGCCCTCTGGTACTAGGCAGAACAAATTGAATCCCTTTTCAAGTAACAGCACCCTTCAGATACTTGAAGAACACACTCATGGGCCCCTAAATCTTCTTTTCTGTAAGGTAGAAATCCCTAGTTCCTTCAACCAAGTTAACATTTTACTAAAACTAAAGCTGAGAAATTTGAGATTTTTTTGTCTCTCTATTCTTTTTCACTAATTCAGGTATAAAGGGGACACTTAACAAATTTCTGTGCTAGAAGGATACAGTGGATGGGGAGGGGATGGTGAAGGTGAGACTGGTGACATCCCAAAATGGAGGATGGCCCAAAGAGAAAGAATGGATGGGATTTTTGCTAGACCAAGTATGGCATATGAACAACTAACTTAGCCATGACATGGAAAAAAATGAGCAAAACAAAGATTTACATTGGCCACTGGAAGGTACTACCAAGTGCAGTTGTGAAATTTTCTTTGAAGATTGAAAAAAACAGGGGTGGAGGAAATTGCTATAATAATGATAACTCCCATTTCTAGAATGCTGTAAAGCTTACACACTGATTTAATCACAACTATATGAAGTAGGTAGTGTCAAGTAGTATTATCCCTACTTTACAGAAGTGAAAACTGACAGTCAGACTCAGAGATTAAGTGAATTACCCAAGGTCACTTAGCTAGTACAGCTAATAACTGGTAGAACCCTATATGTCCTTTCCACAATAAAGCATAGCTTAAGTGAAGATCCTGCCAGAAGACCAAATCTCTTATATTGCCTCTAGGCTAAAACAGAATCATTGTTATTCAGGAGTGATTCTAGTGAGTAAGTAAGATATACCCAGCTAATAGATCTGAGCTATCTATGCATATGAATGAATTAAAATTTAAAAGTGAGAATGAATGGGACCAAGGCAATTTGGTGTTTGTAAGAGCTCTGGATTAATTAAGAGCTAGGGAGTCTGACTCAGCCCTAGCTCTGCCTCTGATTTCCTGTATGACTTTGGGCAGGGCCCTTCTCCACTCTGCATCTCCTTTTCCTTATCTGCAAAATCCAGGGGGTTGAACAGAAAGGTTCTAACCTGTCTGGCTCTACCTTTGGTGTTCTGTGTCTTATGGTCCCTTCCAAACACCAAATTCCATTTTCTGTCTGCTTCCCTTTCTTAATGTTCTGAATCTTAAGGGACCTTCCACTGCCATAATTTTGATTGTGCAGAGGGTGTTTTTTTCTTTTTTGTTTTTGTTTTTTGTTTTTTGCTTTTTGGTGAGGCAGTCAGGGTTAAGTGACTTGCCCAGGGTCACACAGCCAGTAAGTGTTAAGTGTCTGAGCCTGGATTTGAACTCAGATCCTTCTGACTCCAAGGCCAGAGCTCTATTCACTGTGCCAACTAACTGCTTCCTTTTTTTTTTTAAGGTGATTGGGGTTAAGTGACTTGCCCAGGGTCACACAGCTAGTAAGTGTCAAGTGTTTGGTCTGTGCAGAGGTTTTTAACCTTGGGTCCATGGGAGCCTTCCTTGAATGGGAGAAAAACAATTGTAACTTCATTTCATTATAATTGGTTTCTTTTGTAATCCTATGCATTTTACTTTATGCATTTCAAAACATTGTCCTGAGAAGGGCTCCATAGGCATCATCAGACTGCCAAAGGGGTCCATGATGCTAGAAAAAAGTTTAGTATGTTTGCTTTAGTCATTTGCATTAGTGACGAAATACCCAACCAGAGTCAGAGCTCATTGTTGGACTCGCTGATTTTGACTTTGTGATACTTTTAGGCAGGAACTGGGCTGAAATTTACCTTTTCTTAGCTGATTCTTTATTCACTGTAAGATGGTAAGATTTTAAAGTTAGAAAGAAAACTGGAGATCATCCATTCTAACTGTTTACAGACTAGAAAACTGAGTCACATGGAGCTTAAGTGATTTCCCCAAAGTCATACAGTTAATGAGCCTGAATTCAAAACCAGCCACTTGCTCCAAATCTAGTGCATTTTCTGTGATACCACTCCTGGCATATGGCTGAAGTTTATCTTTTCTTATCCGGTTCTTCCTTCATAGTAGGATTATAGAATTTTAGAGTTGGAAGAGAAACTACATTTATGGATGAGAAAACTGAGTCTCACAGTTCCCCAAGGTCACACATAGGAAGCAGTTCTGATTCCAATTCTAATGTCTGTTCTATCACATCACTCTCAACATACAATAGGCACTTAATGAAAATTTGTCAGTTGATTTATAAATAATTCTATGAAGGAATGTTTAAAAGATTAAGGAAAATAAAGTACCCTTCAACACTTTAGAGGTTTTTGTAATGTATGTAAATGATTACTATTTTCTCTAAAACTGTTAAACAATTTAAAATCACTATTCACTTCAGCAAACCTCTTAACCTCTACCAGGCAGTATTTTATTAGCTTCTTTTGGAACGCTGTATAACTGAAGGAATGAAAACTGTAATCCTTTTAAAATACTCAGTAATTCAGGCTTTTTTCACTAATTCTAACAGGCCTAGACCTGGATTAGTCCAAATTGGTGGAGTTTAATGAAAATGCTTTGAAGAAAAGACATTTTGAAAACAAGCTATTTAGGAAGTCTGTCCTTAACTATCAAAAGCACAGGTGTGGAATCTTTAAGGATTATCTATTATGTTGAGTATCTGCTGTTGTTTGGAGGTTAGTGTAAATATAGTTTTGAGATCCGAATTCTAAATGGATTCTTGATTCCATCACTCAATATAATGTTAGCCCTTAAGGAAATATAACTCCCTGGTTTGTTTATCCCTTCAGAATTTTGAAAAGTATATTTTCAGCCCCACAAGAAAACAAACTGCCTGATCAAATTAGTAAATTCTTGTATAACAGTTTTCAAAAGATCAACATCTGTAGAGCCTGACCTGCAAAGTAGAGATTTGGAGAAGTATGCAGATAATTGTGGTTTTGATAGTAAATAGAAATGTCAGGACAAAACTTTTCTGTTGCTTTAGTGACTAATAATGCCATCTCTAACTTTCTTTTTCTCCGCAAAGATACTCTTCACTCTAATGGAGGATTACATCGACGTGAATCACAAGGTTCCATGTCTTCTGCTGCAAGCCTTGACCTGGTAAATTATGGCTTTTCAGAAACAAAATGAATTTATCTTTGAATGGTGATACAATCTTATTTATGAAACTAGTCATTGTCTATGCTATCAAAATTCACGAGGATTAAAATTTGTCTTATAACCACAAAAAATTGCAAAATGTCCCAGTTTATTAAAATTGGTGTGATAGAAGTGAATGTTCTGATTTGGGTGGACATTTTCTGTTTAGTGTGCCAGTTGATGAATATTTATTGAGTACTTATGTACAAAGTTAACCAGTTAGTCAGCAAGGATTTATTAAACACTTACTCTGTGGTGAGCACTAGTAGGACAAAGAAAGGCAAAGATAGTCCTTGCCCTCAAGGAGCTTACATTCTAATGGGGGAAACAACATGCACATACTTACATAAATACAAGACATATACAGTCAGGCACTGTTGGAAGTAAAAGCTATGGTCTCTACCCTCAAAGGAGAAAGCTAGTTGGCACAGGAGATACAGTGCCAGGCCTAGAGTCAGAAGACCCCAGTTCAAATCCAGCTTCACCTACGTTCTAGCTGTGTGACCTTGGGCAAGTCCCTTAATCTCCTTCAGTCTCAGTTCCCTCATCTGTACAATGAGGGAGTGGGTCTGGATGATCTCTGTGGTCTCTTTGAATGCTCAGTCTAGGATCCTGAGATCCCCAGTTACCCTCCTTGATAAGTATTCCTGCAGCCTGTTTGAAGACTTGGAAGTGAGCTAAAATTTGCTTTTTGGCAGCTCTGGGGACAAGCAGAACAAAACTGAGCCCTTTTCTACATGAAAACTTGACAGCTGTGAGGTCCCACTAAGTCTTCTCATCTCCAGGAGAAATATCCCAGGTTCCTTCAACTGATCCCCATAGAGGAGTGTTCCTAAGCTCTCCTAGGAGGAAGGTTTTGTGAAACAGGTGTAACTTAGCAATCTTAAAGATTCTGTAACTTGTCATCTTGATGCTGTCCTTCTCTTAATACAGCCTAAGAGCACAGCTTATATAAGATGTGCCCAAACTGCAGGAGTTCACATGAAAACCAGAGGATTTCAGGGACTTGCCCGTGCAGTACAGGTTAGCAGTGTCACGTGGCATCCTGAAGGGCCCTGGCATCCTAGCCTTACTTTGGAAATTGACAGTCTGTAGAAAACACTCCTCAGTTTTTAAGGGTTTATAGTTTTGGAGGTGCATTAACCCTTCTCCACTGACACAGACTGTAAATGCCTATATCACTCAGTATTTGGTCTTTGAGGGTTGAAGCTAGGAAATGTATTGCTTTATACACACACAAACTGGGGGTTAGCCTCCGGGAGTTCAGCCAGGCCAGTCCTGAGAGAGCCAGCAGGCAGCCTGTCACTTGGCAGCATCGTTGGCATAGCCTTCAGGAACCCTCCACACCCTGAGGAAGCTCTCAGACAGGACCTCAGTAAAGTTGCAGAGAGTTGTCTTGTGGAAAATATTCTTATTCTTAGCATCAGTAGCTCCCATTTTTGCAGTGTTTCCAGCTTACAAAGCATGTTCCTCACACCAACGGTGGGAGGTAGGCAGTACATAAATGATGACCCCCATTTTACAGATGATTATATTGAGGCACCGAGAGAGGAGATCACTTGCAATAACAAGGTGTCACAGCTTGTTGGTGCTAGAGTTGGGGTTCAAAGCCTGGTCTCTTCTGACTCCTCATCCATCGTTTTTTCCATTGCACTACAATGAATTTTACTAACTACTGTGATGGAGACCACTGGACTGAAAAAAGGGTCCAAAAGGCAGTGTTACCTATGGCTACTGGGCCATTATTGGAACTGAATCTCTTCTGGGAGGTTTTCTGCAGAATTTCCATAGGAGCTAGGAGGCAGTCTTATAGTGGCTCACTATTGAACTGCAAATCAAGAAAGTTGCACATTCCTAAGATTTATACAGAGAGTTTTTTTGTGAAGAGAATGCTGGATTGTCATTTTGCAGCTTGTGAGAATGCTTCTCTGCTTGTGAGTCATTCCACAGGCCTTTCTAGCCAGAGGAAGAGTGGGTGTCTGCTCAAAGATTCAGTGCACACAGGCCTTCCCCACACTACAGCTGAGTTTGGAGCAGATGAAAAGGTTTTTGTGGAACTCTCTAGCCAGGGTGCACAATGTCCAGTGGGGGAGATGCTGACAGCATTCTCTGGAAATCCTTTTGTCATTCCCACCTCTGTGCCTTCATTCACACAATTCATCCAGCAGGAATGTCCTTCCCCCCTCTTCTCTCTGCTTATCTAAGTCTTACCCATCCTTCAGGGCCTAACTCAAGGTCCGCCTCTTCCAGGAAGGCTTCTCCAATTACTCTAGCCTGTAATGATCTCTCCCTGCTTTTAACATGTAAAGCAGTTATCATCTGTGGCACTTAATTTTGACTTACTCATATATTGTTATATATTGTTACGTAGCAGAGTGGTCTTACAGTCTAACACCCTTGGCTAGTCACTTAGCCCCTATAACTCAAACTTTCTTCATATATGAAATGGGGATAGTATTACTTACCTACTATTGGGTTATTGAGAGAAAATCTTCAAGTGCTATAGAAATGGAAATCATTATTAGTCTTCCATACCAATATCTAATTGCTTCTCCTGTGCATCCTGTCTCCCTAAGATGATTGTACGCTCTTCGAGGACAAGAATTTTTATCTTATAGTTTCTTTTGCATAGTGTTGACCACACAGTAAATACTCAATTAAGAATTTGTTGGATAAATCAGAGAGTTGCAACCTGTCACTCACTGCTTTGGGGAAAGTAATTAAAAGAGACATTGTCTGGTGCCATCTTTATATGTGAAGGATATTAAAATACAGTAACTCTTGGTTTGGGAAAAGGTTATTAGGGAGCCAGCCCTCCCCATTAGTCTTTTTTTTTTGTTTATTTGTTTTTGTGAGGCAGTTGAGCTTGGTGACTTGCCCAGGGTCACACAGCTAGTAAATGTCAAGTGTCTGAGGCTGCATTTGAACTCAGATCCTCCTGACTCTAGGGCCAGTGCTCTATCCACTGCATCACCTAGCTGCCTCTCCGCCAAATTAATACTTAAAATTTAAAAAAATGATACTTGTGCTATTGTTTTTAAATATTTAGTAGGCTTTCTGCATGAACTGTACTGTCTAGATTTGTTGGACTTCTCACATTTAGGTAGATAACTGTTTGTTGACAATGACAGGTAACTGTTTAAAGTCTAAAATACATTTAAGCTAGATGAGCTCAATGACATGTTCTCCCTGTCTGTTGTGAGTTTGAAACATTAGAAAGTTGGTCACCAGGTCTCACATTGTTTTGAGCCTGGCCACTCATGGATGCCATACTAGATGCAGAAGGCTTGCCTGACTCGATAAATATTCTTCAGCTGAGATAGCTTTGTTCCTGCCTTTATTTTTCACTTTCAGTGCCTTATTCATGTTTCTTTTCCTCTAGTCGGAAACCTGTAGGGTCTCAGTGGCTGAAAAGGACAAGTCGTCCAAGCACTGCTGCATAAACCTTCCTGATGGGACGTCATGTGTGGTGGTTGTGAAATCTGGATTCTCAATCAAAGAAATATTATCTGGGCTGTGTGAGAAACACGGCATCAATGTGGCTGCAGTCGATCTTTTTTTAGTAGGAGGGGACAAGGTACTTGGTGTTCACTTGTGATTTTTAAAAGGATCCTAGGCTTATCAGTGGAGTGCAACAGATGGTGATTTATTTATCTTCTTTTAAAAAAAATTTAGCAAAATATTTTCTCCATTCTGACTTTGTTCTAACTTTTAATGTCTGACCCTGTTTGCTTAGTATTTCTTATGCAAACAATGTCTCTTGAAGTAGCCCAGATTATGAGAATTATGTTGTTGCTTCCTGCAAGCTCCCAAAGCTATTATTAGTTTTAGATGCAAAGAATGCTAACTTTTCTTTCTCTTTTGATGGGCTATTTTTGAAGCTGTGCTTTTGTTCTCTGCACAGCTGTGCATTCCATTACATATTGTTCAGTATTTCAGGGGAAGATACTTGTTCCCACTTTAATTTTGTTTGCTTTTGTTCTTTTCACGTGCCCTGAAGCCGTTAGTGCTGCACCAAGACAGCAGCATCTTGGATTCCAGGGACCTACGCTTAGAAAAGCGCACTTTGTTCCGGTAAGAGAGGAAGATGGTTTTCATCTTAGCTGATGTCTCTAAGAGTTATTATACTTGCCTTTATGACTAAGTGAAAAGTAGGCACAACCTTTGCTCTGTATATGGCTACTAAAAAAAACTATAATGACAATGCAATCTGATTAAACCAGTTCTGCCCTCAATGTGCTGTTAGTCATCAAGGGCCGGACAGGAGCTTAAACGAAACCTGGCATGACTGGCCGTGGAGCAGAGAGGGCATCAGTGTCATGGCAGGGCCACATGGGACTGGTGATTCTGCTCTTCTCTGCTCTGGGAGCAACTTCCTTAGAGCATGCCTGATTAACCAGGGAAGAGCCTGGGAGAGGACATACAACAGCAGCCTTGACTGCCTTGTCTTCAGAGGAATCTTTTTAGTTTCTTCTTGGTACCATGTCCTAGTATGGAAGAAGAACATCAAATAAGGAAAAGCAGGCGAGGCCTCAGTTTGGATCTTGATTCTGTGACTTAATATTTGTGGGACTCTACACTGGTCTGAACTTCAGTTTCCTCATCTGTAAAATGGATATAGTGATACTTGGATGCAAACTGCCTAACAGTTTTGGTTTATGAGGAAAATAGTTTGTGAACTTTAAAGTGCTATATAAGTACAAAGTACTATTATACTTCTAAGTCTAAAGAGAAGAATTAGGTTAAAATTTAAAATCATTTAGCTAAATAAGTAACTAATTGCTTTTCATGCTAGGTATTATATGCATCATGAGGCCTTATTATAAATCTGAAAGAGGGCATTTCCAGATTTACTCATTGGTAGTTAAAAAAAAGTTTTAATGCATGTGGTTGAAAGTAAGAAGGTATTGGGTAATACTGACAGATGACACGGAGCAAATGTCTTGCAAAACATTATTGATCAGAGATATCTCTTCATCCCTTTCCCTAGGCTTGATCTAGTCCCAATTAATAGGTCAGTGGGACTGAAGGCCAAGCCCACCAAGCCAGTCACCGAAGTGCTACGGCCTGTAGTGGCCAAGTATGGTTTGAATCTTAGTGACCTTGTTGTGAGACTGGTAAGTATCTTTTAAATTATGCTGCATGTTCAGCATAACTTGCCTGGTAAATTAAGTAAGTAAATACTGTTCAATGAATTTTTCTCATCTTGGCATTCTCCAGTTTCCTTATAAATGATAATCTTCAGTGTTTGGGAAGAGCCATGATTTTATCAGCAGGGATAATCTCTCTTTCAGTGCAGATTGCAACCCCTCTGTACCTGGAGAAAGTGTTTCACGTATTACTGCGGCCAAGAAAAGTTTATCTTCTGATCTTCTGGAGATAAGCCTGTCCAAACTGAGCTAGGTTGGCCTGAGGACAACAGATACGCACTCCATCCATGGCGGAGTCCATATATGAAGGCTCGCCAGCTTGAGAGTCCAAGGCTACCTCCACCTCGGGATGAGGCATCAGGGAGAAACATAAGAACGTGGTGTGAAAAATTCTGAAGGCTATTTTAAGAAGGGTAGACCGTTGGTGTTCTCATTTATTTTGGGCGTCATGTGGTATTCCTGAAAGAAAGAGCCTTAGAGACTGGGCTTCTCATTTCAGTTGTGCCTTTTGCTGTGAACTTGGGCAAGCCACTTATCCCTCAGAGCCTCAGTGTCCTTCTGTAAAATCAAGGAGTTAGACTAGATGATCTTTGAATGTTCCCCCAGACCTCTTTGTGCATGGTTATCCTGGATCATTGACTGCATGGCTTTTATTTCATGTGGCTTTGGTCTGTCAGCATCACTCTGATCCCTCCCACTGCTCAAGCCATCACATGTACTGTGGGCAGTGGGGAAAGGTAGTTGACTCATTTTTGTTTTTCACCTGCACAACTATTCTAAAAAATGTATTTACTTTTAGTTATTCCCAGGCTTTTTTCCCACCAGCCCAACCCACCCCATCTGGTGCTGAAATGTGTTCTTTCTGCTCGTTAGTACAATGGCTTTGAACTCTGGAGCACTTGACAGGATGAAATCACATCTGCTGCCATAACCAGAGAGGGGTCAGAGTCTGTCTCTTCCTAAGAAAAGGATAGGGACTGGTCCTGGACTTCACTGGTCTAGAGAACTCCTGGGTGAGGAGTCTCCCTGTACCAATGTAGCGAGTCACTTTCTTCGCAGTTTGCAGTTCGCAGTCAAGAGTTACTTATAACACTAAGAGGTTAAGGGTCTTTCTGGCTTCAAGGCCAGCTCTCCAGCTACTACACCATGCTGTCCTAAAGAAAAACATGGAGAAAAAATTAATAGAGCTATAGTAGACTTTGGCCCGTTTATTGAACTATAAATTTATCTTCCTTGCATAAAACAATTCCTTTGTTATTACTCAATGGCCACAAATATCTCTTTTAGCTAGTTATTTCAGATGTTACATTTTACATATTTTTAGCCATCAGTTCCTCTGAACTGGTCATAGAATGTCCTCTTTCACTCTTAATGTTGTATTTAAATTGAGTTCAGCATCAACTTTGTGTGCTTTATCACGACCCAATAGTTTAACATTTGACAGTAGGCATTCATTCCATTGCTGTGGTTTGATGACTGAGTATGTAATCATAGAATCATAGATCAGGAAGGAATCTTAAGAGGTGGTCATGGCCATTCTACTGCCAAAACAAGATGAAATCATGGAATCTGAGGATTGGAAAGGACCTCAGCCTGCACCTGGACAAGAATCCCATGTACCACTTGCCAGACATAAGTAGTCACCTGGCGTACACTTTGGTGGATTCTTCAGTGATGGGGAACCTACTCTGTCCCGAAGCAGGACATGCTCCTTTGGAAAAGTTCTAATTCTTAGCAAGTTTTTCCTTATATCAAGCCTGAATTTGCTCTTGGTCCCGGTTCTGGGATGATGAAGGGGATGTTTTGAATTGGTTGCTTCATAGTCTTTCAAATCCAGCATGTCCAAAACAGAACTCGCCATTTTCCCTACAAATCCACCCTTCTTCCTCAACGTCTCTGTTTCTGTTTATGACTCGACTGTGCTACTAAGCGTGCAGGTTCACAGTCTCACAGCAGCCCTTGTGTCCTCACTCTCCCTCATCTCAAATAGCCAATCAATTGCCAAGGTTTATTGATTCTCACTCTGTGCTTTCTCTGAAGTCCACCCTCTTATCTCCATTCTCATGATCATCTCCCTACTTCAAGCTCTTATCACTTCTTACTTGGAGGATTACAGGAGCCTTCTGATTGGGCTCCTAACCTCAAATCTCTTCCTCCTTTCATTCCTCCTCACAGAGCTGCCAAAGCAGCCATGTTGCTTAGACCACTGGTGTCCACTTCAAATACAAATGGGCCACTAAGCCATACATAAGGATCCCTGAGAGCCTCATGTTGAATTAAAAAACCACATGTTAACTTTACCTATATTGTTTTACTTTTATTTTATTAAATATTTTCTCAGTTACATTTTAATCTGGTTTGGTTTGCACTCAGAAGTGTTGTAGGCCCCTGGGCTATGTTTTGATGACTCTAACTTAGATTATATACACTAGAGAATAATAGAATATGTGTATGTACTATATATAGTCTAACATAAATACATTGGGAAACTACAGACCCAAATTTAGGAATAACCTTCACTTAGTTAAAACTAAATTCTACAAGGTATCTTAATCTGTGAAACCAATTTTTTTTGAGACCATAAAATCTCAATTAAAAATACCAATTTAAGCTGTTTTTTTTTTTCTAAAGAAACAAACAATACTACTACATATATACTAGCAAGAATGTAAAACAGTATCTGGCACATAATAAACATTTAAATGCTCTGTCTGTCTGTGCCTCAGCCTGTTTATCTGCTACACAATAATTGTCTTTCAAATGTAATAGTAGGAATGAAAAATAACCAAATTGATTTTTCAGTTCTTTGGCATTCCTATAAATTAAAAATATCCTATAAATCAATAATAATTTAAGTTCTTAGACTGTCTAGCTGCCATCCAAGTTTTACATTTCAGATGATCGCTTGCTTGGCAAGAATTTATTTGTGCTATAAAACAAACTGTGATCTGCCTTTAGAGTGGAGAAAAGGAGCCGCTAGATCTTGGTGTTCCTATTTCTAATTTGGATGGACAAAGAGTGATCTTAGAAGAAAAGGATCCCACTAAAGGAAAAGGTAAACTCACAGTATGGCATTTTATTTGCTACCTGTCCATCTGTTTCATCCCACCTCTCTGAATGTACTGATTGATATTAATATGGGTGATCACTAAAGGATAAGGGATACTTCTGTAGCTGCATACACACTACCTCCCGCCTCCACTCTGCAGGAGTTCCATCCTGAGTGCAGCTGTAGGAAAGAGGGAAGCCTTCACTATGGTCTAATGACATCCTTCAGAGGGCTTAGGAGAGACCGCCTTCCTCAAGAATGTTAACATATTGGTCTGAATATTACTGGCTGCCCTTCCCCTCAGCCCCAAACTGGCTTGTGTAAAATGAGTGAGGACTATCATCCTATAATCATGGGTATTTTTCAGTGTATACATTATATTTATATTGATAGTTGTCTGGTAAAATATATATGTATATGCATATAATGTATATGTATTTTCCCAGAGATTTCAATTTAGGAGGTTTCCTATATTCATGTACAGTCTATATTTGGATCAGTATGGTACTTTTTATGTGTACATATGTTATCTGTACAATGCATTACATTTCCAAAACCATATCTAGAAAAAAATCATGGCTATTCTTATTGGTTTTTATTTTAATATACTCATGCCTAAGTATTATTCTGATACATGCAAATGAAGATAGCCATTTCTTCCCCAAAAGAAGTCTAGTCTGCTGATCTCATTCATGATAAAAAAAAAAAAAGTGCTTTTCAGTATTTGAGTACATGAAGCCAGTGGGACACTTTCCGTCTTTATTGTGTGTCATTTTCTGTTTTGGGGGGAAAAAAAACACATAAAATATTTGGCCAGGTCAACTGTCCTCTATTGGCCATCATTTCCTCTTCTTTAACATGAAGGGTTTGGATTAGAGAATCTCCAACGTGGTTTCTCACGCCCTCTAACAGTATGCAGTTCACATAAGTTTTTATTACATTTATCTCGAAATAGCTCTAAACTTACTACTTTTCACCTTTGGACTTATTTGCCAAACATCACATCCTCAGTCACAGATTGTATGTTATGGATAATAATAAGATGGCCTTCTGTGTTCTAGAAAATAGGAATTTTTATTCTTTTTAATGACCACTCTATAAAATAGATGTCACAGATATAAGAATTGTAAAAAGACAATGTTAAGAAAAACATTTGCTTTTAACCTTTCTGCTTAGAGGCTTAATCTCCCTTTCAAAGACAACTTGAGTACAACTGAATTTCAATGTTTGGATGGGTTCATGATGTACCAGGATTGTAAAGATGTCTCATTATGTTTAGTATTCACAGAGAAACAGAAAGGTGCATCAGCCAAACAGAATATAGCTGTAATTCCCAGTTCCAGAAATCACTCCGCTACGGTAATATTTCTCACCACATTTGTTCCATGCATTTCCTCATGGTTGTAAGTGTGTCTTTAGAAGTAGAAGCTTTGGGGCACCATGCCAAGCACCACCCCTGGCCCCACCCTTCTAGTGGCCAAGACTTTAAATATACACGTTTCTGTTGACCTCACTAACAAGCTGTGTTTTTTCGTTTCTCTGAACCTGCTTCTCCTCCCAGAATTGGAGAGCCACAATTCTGTTGGGTATTCTTGTCCTTCTTCCTGGAACTGCTCTGTTCATTTCGTTTGTAATCCAGTAGTTCAGCTTAGAATTGAACCATTGCTCTTTCTTTTCCCACGGTGCTGGTTGTGGCTTAATAAAGCTGTGCTTGATACAATCTCTACATTTTATGGGGTTTAATCAATATGTGTAAAATCTATAACTCTACAATCTGTATTTAAAATATTTCTTGTCTAACAATGTATTCTGTGTGTTCATTATGTATCTGAAATGTAAGTAGTACTTTGACTTTCCTTCTAATACAGGGAGAGGAAAGAACACTAGGCAAGTCTAATTCTATTAAAATAAAAGGAGAAAATGGAAAAAATGCTAGGGATCCCCGGCTTTCAAAGAGAGAAGAATCTATTGCAAAGATTGGGAAAAAAAAATATCAGAAAATTAATTTGGACGAAGCAGAGGGTATGTGAATTTTTTAAAACTTCCACGTGTTTTAGTAAATGCAATAACAGTTTTCAAGCAAAATTATTAAAAATCATTGTTTTTTTCTTAACCATTTGGAAAAATTAAATTACTTTCACTCAAGAATATGCATCTTTCACTGTCATGTTAGTATATTTATACATTGGTGTAACTCGGAATAGAATAAGACCTCATTAATTTGGATTATTAATCTCTGGATTTACTTTAATGAAAAGATATGACTCTTTGCATTTAGCAAATATTTATTAAGCAATTGTTATGTGTGATGCAGTATGTTGGGGGTGATATGGATGATTTCTGCCCTCTAAAAATTTATGCCTAGTAAGTAGAGGAGATAAGACATACACAAATAAATAAAATAGACATTAGATTAAGACAAATACTTAAGAATGCCAATGCTGAGAGCTCAACTAAGGAAGGGATGCCTTCCATTTTGAAAGGAAGTTTTAGGGAATATTTCAGGGGGGTGGTGGCATTCGATCTGAATCTTTAAGGAGGGATGAGTTATTGACAGATGGAGATGATAGGAGAGGGCACCCCAGCCATAGGGAACGGTGTGAGCAAAAGCATGGTGACAAGAGAGACTCACCCATCTACAGGGGCTGGTAAGGAATCCAGGTTTCCTGGAGCATAAAATATTGAATAGGTGATCATGGGAAAAAAGTCTGGAAAGGTGGGTTGAAGCCAGATTGTAGAGAGCCTTGCATGTGGTAGAAGCTTAAAATATGTTGGCTGAGTTAAATTGGGTTAAAAGGATTTTGAAAAGAAATCTGTATGACAACTTAGAAAGCTCTGAAAGTTTGAATAGTCTAAGAATGAAGGGTCTCAGCAATTAGTTGTAATCAGAGGCACTACTTGCACACAGTGTACTCAAATTCCCCAAGAATAGCTCCCTTTACTAGGCTAAATATGTTGCTTGCCACCTTGTTTATTCTATTAATTTGCTTATCTAACCCTTTTTGTCATGGATAGCTCAAATCTAAACTTCTACCTAGTCTAAGTGGCACCCTAAATTGTAAAATTAGTTGCATCCAAATTAATGAGGTTTTATTATACAGCTTTAAAGCAGTTTTGGCCACGGTTTGCTTCCCATCAATTTTTGTGGGACCGATAAAGATCTTTGACAGTCTTTGTTTACTCATGAAAATCACTTTTTAAAAAGCATCAGATCTTTCTGCATTTCCTTTACAGATGAAAGATGCTATTGAAAAGATTAAGGGGAGAAAGAGGTAACTGTCTTTATATAACCTCCTTCCCATCAAAAAAAAAATGGTACCAAAGAAAAGCAGAAGGATCCTGGGGTCCAATCCCAGCTCAGCCACTGATTTGCTGTCTGACCTTGGCCAAATCATGGTCCTTCTCTGGGCTCTGGTTTCCTCATTATTAACATGAGAATGGACTCAATTATCTCCTAAGCATTGAAAACTGTCAGAAAGTTACAGCTTTCACTGTAGTTGTAACCAAAAATTTAAATTTAGTTAGCATAGCAGTTAAAAATGTGTCTTGTAACTAACCCTTACTAACTTTGTTGTAAAAATATGACGTATGTTAACCTCATTCTTCAGTGGTTTCCATTCACCAGGTAAGTGATTTGTGATATTTTTGAAATACTGAAGTTAAAAATTGAAACCTTTTGGACATGTACTAGTTTGAGACTAGATAGTGGCTTCACTTGTGACCCAAGTTCAATCTTATGCCTTGTGTAAGGGGTGAAAATCCAATTCTGGCAGTAGGAAATCACAATTCTGTATTTATTCAAGATGGAAAAAGTGTCCAGAGATGCACTAAGAGCCCTCCTGTTCTGGGGAGGAGGCAGAAGGGGACAGAGCCATTGTTTCTTCTTTTGGCACAGCACCCCTCCAGCACACACAACACCAAGGTGGTAGAGGCAGGGCCTACACAGAAGTAGGTAGGTGGTAGTCTGGACCCTGAACAGTGGAGGAAAGGAGTGGCATCGAAGGGAATGCCTTCCTTCTCTCCCCCCTGCACAGGCAACTTGGTGGCTTCCTTTTAGAAACATTATTACTCTTGAGAGCCAAGAACACTGTAAGGGTGGCCAAGCTCCAGCTCTTCCTTATCATTCATATTTCTGTGAATTTTATAGCCAGTGGAAAATTGATCCGTGAAACCAAATGGTTTTATCAAGGGATACTTGACTTTAATTCCATTCCAAAGGTTATGCTTATTAATCTGAGAGTCATGTTCTGGGTGGGGAGAGTAGGGTCCTGGAAGAGTGTCATTGAGAAAGGGAGGTTCCTGAGATTAACCACCCTGTTGTGGGGGTTTTCTGCTCCTGAAATGTAGCCAGAACACTCTCATTCCTTCTCCTTAAGGACATGTCAGGGCTTTTAGCATTCTTTATTCCTTTATGTGCCAATGGTTCCTCCTTGCTCCCCCATTGTTAAGTATCTCACTCCTTAGGCCCACTCTGGAATTTGTGTTGTGGAGGGACGCCATCGAGAGAAAACACTAGCTATGGCCCTTTGGATAAAAAGGCTAAAGGAGAGAAATTTGAAATAAAATTCCTTGCTTTGCTCTTGAGTTGAAGTGAGGCTCTAAGTGACTCATTTCCATGGATACTTCTCTTCCAGTTTTTAAATGGAGACACTATTTGATCAATGTCCTGGTTTAAGCCTTCAAGTTATAAATGATAAATACTTTTTTAAAGAAATATAAAAAAAAATCTTCCTTAAATGACATCATGGCACGCCTTTGTTTAACTGGATCATCCTCTAAAGGTACAGAGGTGTTGATACGATTTTGCTAAAATGTGAAGATATCGAGTGACTCTCAGAGTAAACATAGAGGTGATACTGGCATTAGTATAAAATGTTATTTAATATATTTTAAAATGTGCCCTGAAACATTGGGAAAAAATTCAGGACTCTAGATTTTATAAATCTTTGTTTTTAGGTACACGAGTATAGCCATTGTAAACTCTGAAGACACGCCCTTGTAGGGGAATCTATAGTAGCTCTGCCTTTAATTATGAGGGAGTAGTTCTCTAATGTGAAAAGGTCCCCGATTAATATAGCCCTTAGTTCCAGGGCACTAGAACTGCAGGGCAGCAGGTAACTCAGTGGTCTATTAGAAAACAAATTTGGTGATTGTTGACATTGATCAGTGATAAGTTTTCTTTAAAATGGTCAATATGGGTTTTTCCCCCATAGAGTTTTTTGAGCTCATTTCCAAAGCTCAGAGCAACAGAGCAGATGACCAGCGTGGGCTACTAAGAAAAGAGGACCTTGTCCTGCCCGATTTTCTTCGTTTACCACCTTGCACAGCAGAACCAACTGCGTCTACTCCTACAACAACAAAAGGCCTAAACAAGAGAACTGTAAAAAATGGCAGCAAGGAAAAGGCTTCATCACCAAATGGGAAGCTGGAATCTCCTCAAAACGGTAATGAAAGTCCAGTGAAGAGCCCAGGGCCTTCAGAGGGCAAGCCCAGGCCTACTCTGGCTGCCCTCCACAGTCAGAAGACTCACAGCGTTCCCTTCAGTGCCCCATTGTCTCCAATTCCACACGTCCAGGAAGGAACGGCATCGGCGCAAATATGGAAGAGACAATCCAAGGAACTACATACTGAAGGCATACAGACTATAGATGATGAGAATGTTGCCGACTTAACACTTGTGGGTGAAGGAGATATTAGTAGCCCTAACAGCACTTTATTACCACCTCCTCCAACACCACCATCAGATGTTACGAAACTCACTGAAGCCAACTACTCACCCCCAACTCCTCTGACAGATAAACAGGAAAAACCTGGATATCAGAGATCCGTTTCAGGTATTTCTAGATTTTAATTTTTTTCCTCTGCACTTACAACTACTTTACTTTTTCACTGTTATATCAGTATTCTATATCCATTTTTCAATTTTGAAAGTCCAGATTAGGTATTTTCTGTAGCGTACATTTTTGAGTCAGAAGTTTTGTTGTGACAGTCTCTTCATCATTAAAATACATTTGGTTTCTTTTTTAAACACATTTTAAAAATCTTGAATGCTACAAGGCCTGAAATTGGTAAATAATAGATTACTGGGGTACTCAAATTCTGATAATCTTTAGTATCATGAAGGCTTTGCTAAAAGGATAAAGCACTTACTGACCATGAAAGCTGCCTCCTGCTCTAAAGAGCATTTGAATTTCAAATGTAGCCACACCAATACTTCTGGTAATAGTTTTTGCCCCACCATTTTTAGAGGTGAAAAATCATTGTAGGTTCTTAGATGTCTTGATCTTGCTATTGGTTTAATTAACACTAACTAACCATTTTAAAATAACCACAACAAATCATTGCTACTTAAGTGCAGTAGAAACTATTGAAAATCAAAGCATTGGGGAAATTGAATCAAAGTGAAACAGTGACGAAAGTCCAGTGAAGAGCCCAGTCCTGTAGAGAGCATTGAATCAAAAACTGGGGAAATTAGAAGTTTTTTGGTCTAAGACCTGTTTAAAAAAATACTACTTACCACTAGTATATCAAGTAAGAAAAAAATGACATTTAATTTCTAGTACTAGGAATAAGCAGTTAATGGTATGCATTTGATTAGAATTCATTTTAAGTTAATTGAGTCAGTTTAAATTTAAAAATTAAAAAAACCCCATAATTTAGGGCAGTATTTTCCCTAAAATCAGAGTGTGAAATTTAGTGTTGTCCAAAAGTGTACAATATGCTTTTGTAGCAAATGCTGTTTCTATGTGCTACAGATGTTCTAAATGGAAGTGTGGCTTGTGGCACGCACATGATTATATCATTCATCTGCATATAAGCATATTCAGGAAAAAAATTTCCAGAAGCTGTATTCATTTTCATTCTTTCACCAAGTTACTTGTGCCATGGTTTGTTGAACCACCATTTCTTTAATGTAAGATAGCATTAATATTTTTAATATATATTTTTACATGGTGATGTCTGTTGTTTCTTTTATGTCTTATCAATGAGATGTAAATACCTTTTGGATTGTTATATTCTTCTCTGTGGCAATGTGAATGATTCCTTTTTGCTCTATCAGATTTATTTCCATAAACTGACAGAAAAGGTCTATGATCAGTTGTTGACTGACCTGTAACCCAGGGCTTCCTATTGAGGACATATGAAGTGCGTATTTTCAGTGTATTTTATGTACATATGTATAGATCTGTATCTCTTTTTCAGAATATGTTGTATACCCAAGTGGGTTTTAGTTTTTTCTATGAGTGGTAATATGAGAGGTCTTACCCTTACAGCTTTAGAAATGGAGCATATTTTAATGCATGCATTACATTTCTGTATAATTACCGAACTGTAGCTTTCACCTTTTCTGTTTTCTGCTCTTGCTTTGTAGATATCTTTGTGTAGTTTTTACATGTATTTTGTATGTGTTCTTTTGAGAGGAATAAACTCTAGATCTAATTACTCAACTGGTTTTATATTTTCTCTTTTTTTATTTGATCATATTCTGCCTTGATAGCAAACTGTAGCTGTCATCTAATTGAAAGCAATGAAAAGTTTCAGTGTGATTAAGTTAAATGTACTATATGTGATGCTGTGGTACCTTTTTAAATGTTATTGGTACCCATTTAGACATAATATAGACTGTTGTATGTGGAAACTAAAAATATTAAACTGGAAACAAAGATCTGTTTTCCTTTGGAAATTGAACAGATTTGTTGGGAGACCAATGGGATTGTAATAAAAATGAAATATCCTTTGATATCTGCATGTGAAGTCTGAGGTTTAGATGTTTACTTTGATCACCCCAAAGCTATTTATTGTGTAATGTGTTAGATTTAAATACCAGTATACCTTTTTAGTAATCTTAGTCATTTAGTTATATAAAAAATTCATATTCTTAGTTGGGTGTTCTGGTCTTGCCCTCAGATCTCTCTTCTTATTTGCCCATCTACCTCTTCCTTTGTCAGTTATTTTTCATGCTTCTGTGATTCTTCCATCAAATGGGAGTTCAGTGAAAAGAGGAAGGGGTCAAATTGAAATCTAAAAGACTTCTTCTCTGTCGGTAGCTTGTATAAGTTATAGTGAGAGGTAGAGAAAAGGGAGGCAGTAAGGTTTTGGACCATCTGTATGTTTCACACACCCCTGTTATTTCTTGTCTTGAACAGTGCAAAAAATTGAGAACTGTACATACTGAAGACATGAAAAGCTTGAACCAAAATGATTCAATGATAGCACCTTTCAGGGGAATCTCAGGAGTCATTCTCCTGGAATAGTGGGATAGTTTTTGTCCTTTTTATTTTTTATTTATTTTTTATAGTGGGATAGTTTTTAAAAATCTGTACTGACTCCTAACTTCCTGATCAATTATATCAGTTATCAAACCTGAAAGTAGACATGTATGAACTCTTGGTCTCTTTGAAATATATATTTATGGTGGGGCAGCCAGGTGGCACAGTAGATAGAGCACCAGCCCTGGAGTTAGGAGGACCTGAGTGCGAATCTGGCCTCAGACCAAACATTTGACATTTACTAACTGTGTGACCCTGGGCAAGTCGCTTAACCCCAATTGCCTAAAAATAAAATTAAAATGAAATATATACTTATGGGAAAGGTGTTTATAACTCTTTAAAGTTGTTCAAAGCACCTTTAGCTTTGTGACCAAGAGAGCTCTCAGGTTCAAAATATTTTTGCAAGATTAAATGAATTATGTATGTTTTACTTTTCTCAAGAAACAAGTCTGGAGTGAACGGAAAATTGTCAGTTCTCTTAAGGTTCAAAGCTTTTACTCTATGTATTCAAGTTAGCCTTGGGTTTATTTGGGTTTTTTTAGCAGAAACTTCTTGGTATTTGTCAGTTCCCAGATCCTGGTGCTTAAGACTGCCAGTGATTAGGAGGGCATTTAACAACACTCCATGGAAAGTATCTTTTTGGAGGAAAGAGGGCATGGCCCAAGCCTGGATTGAAGAGATTGAACAAGATGCCTGATCTGGGTCGAAGCCAGGAGGCTAGACAGGGGATCGGAAAGGAGTGCATGGCCATGGAGCAAAGCCAGGGAACTCAGTATGGAGCCAGGGAGAGCTTGTGGTGAAGGGCAGCAGGAGGTTCAGTGAAGTAAATGCCAAGTGTGTTCCATGCAATTTCTCAGAATCAATTCAGTGACATTCTAGGATTCTAGGGTGCCAGTGCTAACCGTGCTCCTTCCTTACTCTTCATTGTTGGCAATGCCATGGTCCTCAGGAGTTCATTAGGAAATAAAGTACCGAAACAACGTCAGTCATTTGGTAGCCTCTCTGAAATGCATTGTATTTTCTGTCTGTAATTCTAAGTGAATGTCCATTACCATCACCCTAATGACTGTTAATACATTTCCACAGCACTGGCCTTTTGACACAAAATTACCTTTTATTTCACGATTAAATATGTGTCCATAATTGTTACCCTGATGCTTTTCTACGGTTCCATTCATAGTGAAAGAAGGCAGGCAAGGCAGATAATATCCCCATCACACAGATGAGGAAACTAAGGCTCATAGAAAGTGATAGAGCTAAAATTAGAACCCAGATTTCTTGTTTTCTGGCCCAGGGCACTATGGTTCTGAAGGTTGATCAGAAGACTCTTACCGGTTTTAATTAAATCCTGTTTAATCCACAGAGGATTAAAGGGCCCTGCCTCAGTCAAACTGAGACCTGTTAAAAAATTATATATTTTCAGCACTGATTAACTTGATCAGCCAAGACCCCCAAATAATTATGCATTTCACATGCTGCCTCATTGCTCTGGTAAATCCTAGGTTTGGTAGTTCAGGAGGATGACAGGGTAAAAGATATTTGGATCTGGGGTAGTGCTCTGGGGGTTTACTGAAGTCATTCACCTATTCCTGGGCTTAGAGAGTCATGTCTAGGGCTTACTCCTTCAACAGATCTGTGAATTTACTAATCAGTAAGTCAGGTTCATCCCTATCTATCTAGCAGGCAAAATAAAGGCTTGTTGGGAGAATTATCCAGATGAGCCAACCAAAGCTGAAAATACCTAATTAATGTCCACTCTAGCTAAGGTTGGGTTGAACCAAGCTCTACTGAAAGCAGAACAAGATATCTTTCTTGGTAGATAAGACTTCTGGTGAAATGTTAGAAAGAGATGTCAGTTAATGGCAAGTCTACTGAAGAGTTTAGTTCTTTGGAAAGTGTGCGTTAATAGACCAGGTCTCCTGGGGAACACTGCTGAACTATATGTAGTTAACAGTGTTTGGATATTATCTCCTTACTGTGTGAACTCCATGAGGGGAGGATGACTTTCATCTCCTCCTAACCTCCAATGCCTAGCACAGCTGTCTGCATTTGAAAACTGTTTAATATATGCCTGTCAAATGAAGGAAGAAAGGCAGGAAGAAAGGAGGGAAGGAAAGGAAAGAATTGGGGGAAGGAAGGAAGGGAGGTGGGAATTCGTATTATAGATCGGACTAAATTATCTCTGAAATCCTTTCCAATTCTAAGAGTCTGTGATTCTGTGTCAGTCAATCAACAAGCCATTATTTTTTTTTTACTAATTTATTTTGATTTATCAACAACACTTCCATAAGCTTTTGAGTTTTAAATTTTTCTCCCTTTCCTTTTCTGCCTCCCTCCCTGAGACAGCACGCAGTCTGATATAGGCTATACATATACATTCCTATTAAACATATTTTTACATTACTGATGTTGTAAGGAAGAATTACAACCAATAGGAAGAACCACAAGAAAGAGAAAACAAAACAAAACAGAAGGAAAAAATAGCAAACAGTATGCTTTGATCTGTATTCAAACTCCATAGTTCTTTCTTTGGATGTGGACAGCATTTTCCATCATGAGACCTT